CAACACGTACACGTGGATTTCCAATTAGTGCACGTGGTCGAGTGGTTGGGGTTGTGAGTCTGTTGTCGTGGTGCTGCGTGAATAAAAATCTATGTCATGAAGAGACATATGTTGTAACAACTCAGGAAAAAAATCTCACTTCAGAAATTACTGAGAGTGAAATTAGTTAATAAAAATTAACAGCAGTAAAAACTACTCACATTAATTGAAACCAAATATTTAATTCATCGCACAAATTTAGGATACCACACATAAGTTGCAACACATAAATAAATGTTGGGACAATAATCATAGCAGTGACGTCTACAATGAAAATGGTAAATAGACAGGGTCTTGAGAAAACGTCTTTGGTACTGGGGCACACTCCTCTTCTATCGGGGGAAGCAGATTGACTAGATGATGAATGCGTCTCTCCTGGTCGGGCCTTAGTGGTCTGCCAATAGCGATCTGAGGGTTTAAATCAGCGAGGATCTGGAGATAGCCCATTACCCACTGGGTCAAACGCTCTTGAGCGATGACATACTGGGCAAGGTTGGCCAGCACTGGGTCTCTCTCAATTCGTCCGCCAGGAAAAGATGCTACTTCTCCGGGTGCTGCATGACTCGGAAAGTAATAATACCCTCGTTTGCTGGCATAGGGCACCGCAAATCGAAGGCGAGCAAGCGCTTCGTACGCAGCAGCCTCTATGGCCATTTGCGGAGTCGGCATAGATTTTCCCACGAAGGAGACTTCTGTTGGGTCTTGGTTTGGGTTTGCGGGAGGGATGTGCACCACTGCCCAATATTTCGAGGTGGAAGGGGTGATCCTCGATTTGAGCAACTTGTACTGGGGTGGATGGGTAGAACTCATTGCACTGCAGGTAAAGTCCCACAATATTTTAACAAAACTAGCTGGGGTTGCATCTGGAGTTCTCAGATAGATACTAGGGCTCGGCATGGCAAAGGAATGGTTGTGAGAGCTGTGCACGAGGAAAGGGATGCTTGGTAAGGTGACGAGGTGGCCTTTTATATAGCATCTGGGCTGGGTCATCTATCACGGTGAGGGGCAACTAGTTTGTCGGTTCTACTCTTATGGGGTCGGGTCAATGCCACAGATACACATATCTCACAAAAGCGATGCATTACTGTGAGTGTCATCGGGGTGGTTTTTGGTAGCTACGCCCGGAATTAAAATGCAGCCGTACACCAACATACTTATGTATGGTTACTATAAAGTAGGGGCATACAAACAGACAACATATAACTATGGCGGTACAAGATCACACAATTACAGGGCGTGGACATACTAACACTCAGTACTACTCGAGTGACTTAGTCTACCTCGTTTATATCTAAGCGGGCGTGCCTTGTGGACGTCGAGGCTTCTCCATGGGTTTCACCGTCGAGGTTAGCTGGATGGAGTTGAGGGGCTGCAGGGTCGGGGTAGCGATGATGACCATCGCGGGGGTTGTTGGCCACAATCCCATTGGAGCGTGTTCACAAAAGGCGACAAAGCACTTCTGGGGACACCAAAGCATTTTGGTCGATGGCTGGGGCAGGCCTCAAGGACTCGATCGGTTGTCCGAACAACACGACTAGGTTGTCGGCGTCGGGCTCATCTTCTCCTCTTGCCGGGGCTTGGCGAACTAGTTCTCCACGGGCTGCGATCAGGTCAAGGGTGATTTAATCGAACAGTTCCTCTGGTGCACTTACATAGCGCACCAGATGCAACAATGCAGGATCCGTCTCGTGATCTCCGTTGGCAACCTGGGGTGGCCTACCATACCCGTCATGGCTTGGGTAGTAGTAGAATGAGCGGCAGTTAACTCTGGGCGATAAGTGCCGGAGTTGAACTATAGCCTGTCGAGCAGCTAGTTGTATGGCTTGTGGCTCAAAGGAAGTTGTCCTTCCGGTGAACCTGTAGGGGCGTTCTGGCGATAGACCCCTACCATAGACGTGTACAGTGGCCCAGAATTGACGGCTCTCACCGCTCATGGTCCCTTGGTACACAACATACTCTGGGGGCTCTTCTAATGCAATGGCACGGCGGCTGAGGTTTGCTAGCACGGTCACAAAACCTCCAAGGTTGGTTGCTGTGGTCTCATTGTGAACAATGGGTCCAGGCATTATAGCTCGTTTTGGGGTAGAGGCTGTGTTGTGCTGGGTCGAGGCTAGCGTGCCCTTTTTATAGAAAAAGGGGACAGAGTCTTCCTTCGCACGCTTGCGAAAGAGACAATTTAGGTGTCGGTCACTGGCCCATGATTGACAGGCTAGGCTGATAGGTTAGGCACTGACTGCCAAAAGGTGTCGAGGTCACTGTGTGGCTATCTTACATGAGAAGCTTGGCCGGGGTTAGGTTAAGGTTTGGTGGGTTGGTCAACCTAGGTTTATTGACCTGGCTGAGATAGGATTAGCCAATGGTCAGCCTGGCTCTGATACCAAGATTGTCAGGATCGGGTTTTCGAGATATTAATTTACCATAAAATGGCCCTTGTGCTCACCAGCCCTAGGATTACGGTTAGCTAATGAGACACCAACTTGATACAGAAATTCCAAGCAAAATACAAAATGTGTAGTACAAGACCATTCTGTCCTATGAGTACAACAAATGGTTTCTAGTGGTTGATGGCAGAAGCGGTTTGTGGTTCATCAGCGTCTATGGGACTCCATTTCCCACGGGAATAGCTGACCTGGATAACTCCTATCTTCGTGAGGCTGCTATCACCATTGCGTAGGTTCCGGGGCTGTCATCACAACACTCCTCTCCATGCAAGAAATCTGGCCAAGACAATAGCCAGGGACAAGCCAATGAGTACTTTGAATGTACTCGCAAACATTATGAACTAATAAGCACATTTCCTATTCATAATTTGGCACACAGATATACCACATATTGTGATCTGACCATCAATTATTGTTATGAACTATTGCATATTTGAACGGAAATCATATAAAGGGATCATTTACTTGTGACTTGTTTCTTTTGCAGAAAAGTGCGCAAAGGCACTATAGTCATCAAGATTTCTACTATGTGGCTATCGAGAAAAGTGAAGAAAAGAAGAGAAGGAAGAAGAGACTTGTGTGAGATGAAAAGAAGTAACCAAGGGGCTAGCTAAAGAAGTGGGAGGACCTTCTTGTGAAGAAAGAAGAGAAGGAGGAGGGCTAATGTGTAAAGTTTGCAGATCAGGGAGGGGATCAAAATCCCTAGATCGCTTCCATTCCCCTTCGGGCCTGGCCACATCTCCTCTCTCGTCTCCTTCTCCACCTTCGGCCGCCGCCACAGCCAGGCCGGCGCGGGGCGCGCCACCGCTCCACTGCGCCATCCATCCAACCACCACTCCATCATCCACTCCATCTCCACCACCCGCCGCTGCTAGCGCCGCATCACCACCTCGAATCATCGCGCCATCCATCACCATCTCCAGCACCGCCGTCGCACACCATCCATCACCATATCCAGGGCCACCACACCATCCTCCACTCCTCCTACTGCTACCCTCTTCTTCCTCACCTTGGTTGTTTCTCCCCTGAACTCGAACTCCTTCTCCATCTCCAAACTGCATGCTGCGCCTCTGCTGAAGCTTTCTCTGAACCCTCCCCCCCCACTGCTTCTCTCTTCTCCATGCCCCCGCTGATGTTTCTTCTTTCTCTAACCACCCGCTGCTGAATCTCTCTCCCGCTCCTAGCGCCAGCTGCTGTTTCTCTTCCTACCCTACGTCTTAGTTCCTAATGCTCCTCCTCCTAATCCTCTCATAGTGCCTCAACCTACTGCTTCTCCAAGCTCCATTGCTGCTCCTCACTTGCGCCAGCTGCTCATGTTCCCTACACCTCTGCTACTGGTTCTTGCTTCTCTTCTGAACCTGAAGCTCTCTCTCCCTCTTATCTCAAACTGCTGTAAACTTTAGAAGTGTAATGTTTAGAATTTTGTAATGTTCAGGGCTATGTAATGTTCAGACTTGACAAGTTCTAGCAACTTGTTATTTGTTCAGTTTAGTACCTGTATAATAAAGTACTTGTTATGTTGGATCTGACTAGTTGAGGCCTTGTTAATTTGGGATATAATTGATCTATTAGAATGTGCTTCTATGTATTACTATTCTGCTAGCATATGAATGTGTTCATCCCTGTATATTTGTTCCTTATTGCAGAAATGTATTCAGTCATCCATGTATTAGCTCCAGTACATGTGCTATATAAACATGTGTGTGTTTGTGATGAAAAATCTATCTTTTGTCCTATATTCATGTCTCTTTTCTCTGATACATGTTAGATAAACTTGTGTTTTAGTATTGTTGTTGCCCATTTGGTCATATTTGTACGCTTGTGTCAGTGTGTACTTTCTCAAGTAAAACGATAATACCAAAAACACTGAGAGTATAATATGAATCTCCCTTTGCTTCTTTTCGTTTACTTTGTCACCGATTTTCCGAAACGATCTTAGATACATTAGGTTTATTTTCCCAGTAATTGTCACTTAAATTGTCTAGGCTATCTTTAGCCGAGCATCATCGCTGATCGTCTAGTCCCTATGGAGAACACGACACTCACAGTTCGGGCGAAATATCCCGCTGTACCTACAATAGATCATTTTGGCGCCGTTGCCGGGGACTAGCGTCGAGCGATTTTGTTAGGCTATAGACTAGGTTTTTCTTGTTTTCTTTTTGCGACATTTATATGTGATATATAACTAACCCCTAACCACTGTTCTAGTTATTTTCTCTTCCTTTTCTTGGTTGTTTTGTAGGTTGGATTTTCTTCTTGGAAATGTCATTCAAGTCATGTCATCATGCTTATACGAGCAACAGTACAAGCAGCACGGAAAGTATTCAAGAACTGATAAGTAAGATTTCCCATCGATTAGCTCAGTAGCGAGAAATAGGTTTTGAGGATAGGCCTAGCTCTTATGATCCTTATTCTAGAGGCTATCCTTATGTTGCTCCTACCTGCCATATTTGTGCATTTTAGGGCCATTTGCCCGCTGAATGTCAGCATGGTTACTCTCACCCTCCAGATTGTTTTGGCATGAGCTTCGCTCAAGAGCATAGCTCATACCAAAGCAATTACTCACATGGGTGGACTGAAAACCAGAATATGTCATATAGGAACAACAGCCCTGAGATCTCATCGGTTGCCTCTAGTTATCCAATGCAGGGATTTAGGTACAATGAGGAGAGCCACAACTATGCACCACAACAATTTCATTCAGCTCCTACTCATATACCTCAACACCAGGAGACGTGTCTAATGGAGTTAAATGGTCCTCCACTTGGTCAACCAACAACTCCAGCACCTGTTGAGCAATTTCATGCACAAGTGCCCACACAAGATGACTTTGATGATATAGACAAGCTCACATTGCTTAGTCTCGAGTTCACTTGGAGTGCTGAAGATGATTCAATTAGGCCGGTGATACTAGAGGAAATGAAGAAGATCAAGAGTGGAAAAGAGCTAGTGGAAGAAGTAAGGAAAATTGAGAAGAATATCAATGCCGGGTGCATTATCTCATCCCTCCTTGAGTCGATTGTTGCCGAGATTCCCCTTGATACATGTGACGTTCCAATACCGTCACATCCAGCTGAGCAAGATAGTAAGAGTCCAGAGGAAGAAAGATCTCAGATTGAAGAAGAAATACTTGAAGACAAGGAACAAGATGATCCAGAGCTCGAACAACAAAGTGATCAAGTTGAAGACTCATCATGTATTATTCTTGAAGAAGCAAAAGAAGTTGATGTGATTGAAGATGAAGAACCGGAAATGCATTTGCCCATCGTCATATAGGAGCGTGATTTAGCAGGTTTATCCAATCCTCTTGATGACATGCTTCCTTATGAGATCTTTGTTGTTACTTTGCATTGCGCTATACCATCAATTAAGCTAGATTTGAAAAATTATTTGCTTGGACATGATCATACATACACTTTTGGTGGCATTGCTCTCATTCCCGATGATGACACTTATTTTCCTTATGCTAGTCCTATGCTTAATGAAACATATTATTCCCATACTAGTCTTGAGCTTAATGATAAATTTCATCCTCATGTTAGTGTCGACCTTGCTGATTTCTACCGTCCTAAACATGTGCTTTATAGCTATGCTTATGTAATTGGATATTCGATTGATGACTTGGAGGGTATTATCCCTACCACTTGCATTGTCTCTTTGGTTGAGTGCCTTTTCAGGTTTTTGCTTGTGCATGAATCAATACATGTTGACCAGGTTCGAGGTGACATTCCTTGGGACCGTGGTGGACTCAGAGCATGGGGATGAGGAGAAGCAAGGGGGCACACACAAAGAAGAGTGAAGCTGGAGCATTCATGAGGAAGCAAAAGGAGAAGAGCTGCAGCTTGGAGAGTGATCAAGCGAGTGCTACATCATCAAAGCCCGGTGAGCTATTTCATGACCCATTCCGAGTATATCATCCATTGATACATGCTGAAATCAAATGTTATTTGGGTTGCTTATTAAGCCATTTCTTAAATGTTGCCCCACTGAATTTTATTTGACATATGGTGCTTGATGAGAATATGTGAACCGATTGTTGAATGCCATGTAAACTAGTGATCTACATATTGCGTGCTTTGCTGAAATTAGTGAGAACTATTAGTTTTGAGTGCTCAAATCCCTAGTACACTAGAAAACTTAATCATTTTCTGCTTTTACCTTGATACACCTAGATCATTAAGTGTCAGATGCTGAGTTTGTGTCTAATGTGTTCCCATTCAAAACAATCACTTACCACTATGGATTAGCATGCTATGTTCTCTGGATCGGTAGCATGTGAACCAGACCTGGTTGAGTGATGATTCTTGTGTTTGTTCATTAAAATAGGCATATCTTATAGTGAATAATTATCTGATCTATCTAACAGTAGCATGTCATGTTCCCTGCATCGGTGGCTTGTGAAATCTGGTTGGATCGGATAGGAGTTAATTATATTTAAAAAAATGTAATTGTCGAACCAGGTGTATACCATGTTCTCGGGATCGGTGGTATGTTCCTTTGGGGAGACAAACTAAAAAAATACCAATAATTGGTCGAGCCAGGTGTATACCATGTTCTCGAGATCGGTGGTATGTTCCTATGGTGAGACTAATAATAATAATCATTGCTTTATTTCAGTAAATAAGTGATTTGATCACAAGATTTAATTCTAGTTCCTTTTGTTCTCAAGATCATGCTCTCTTTAGGAACCTTTGGCATAATCAGCATTTGAACTTGCTAATCTTCTTGCATCATTGTAAAAGTTGAAAATGATCGAGTCTACTAGTATCCTATTGCTTTGTAGCACTCTTAACCATTGATTTTCACTAGCTAAGTCCAAAGCATGCGATGTTTGGAGATCTACTTTACTGGGACATTCTCTAGTCAGCTCACTGTTCTCCATCTAGCTCTTGTCATTTGCCTTTACTTGAGGACAAGTAAAGATTTAAGTGTGGGGGAACTTGATAAGCACATTTCCTATTCATAATTTGGCACACAAATATACCACATATTGTGATCTGACCATCAATTATTGTTATGAACTATTGCATATTTGAACGGAAATCATATAAAGGGATCATTTACTTGTGACTTGTTTCTTTTGCAGAAAAGTGCACAAAGGCTCTATAGTCATCAAGATTTCTACTATCTGGCTATCGAGAAAAGTGAAGAAAAGAAGACAAGGAAGAAGAGACTTGTGTGAGATGAAAAGAAGTAACCAGGGGGCTAACTAAAGAAGTGGGAGGACCTTCTTGTGAAGAAAGAAGAGAAGGAGGAGGGCTAATGTGTGAAGTTTGCAGATCAGGGAGGGGATCAAAAGAGTGGTTCTAAACTAAAAGAAAATCCAGAAAATAAAAATTTAATTTAACATGGTGAAAGTTTAATTAATAAATCATGGTTATATTTTTGGGGTGTTACATCTCCTCCATTGAAGAGCGAGCTCCTCCGCGATCTCTCAGACGACGACAAAGCTGACGAGTACTTGGTTGAGGGTTCCTCGCGCTCCCCCGGGGTTGCTACGAGGTTCAGGGAATCCCCCTAAAGATGCTAAGTCAAGTGACCCGAAGAAGAGCGAGGCGGCGTCGCTTCCCTGGGGCGACGCCCCCGCCTTGTCGTCTGTCGCCGCCATTCTAGAGCCAGCCATCGTGCGCGCGACTGATCCCGAGGGTATGACGAAGCCCACGCTCAAGAAGCCCGGGGGCGCCGCGGTCCTCGCTACCAAAAGGGCGAACGTCACCGATGACGAGTAATCTTCTTACCTTGTTTTTGCTTTCCATCCCAGATGTCGTGCCCACATATTCTCCTCCTGGTGGCGAGGCTGAAGCCCGTGGTGAAGAAGAGGAAGGAGGAGGATAGGGCCACCGAGGATACACGACCTGCTGTGGCCGTGACGACCCTGGCATGGGCGAAAGAGGCCGCCTCATGTTCAACCGTGACGGAAGGGGCCCCTCTAAGCTCGGTGGCAAAGCCTCGGGAGGAGATCGCTTCCGTGGCCCAGCAGACTTTGGGGGCGCCCGTCCCTGACGCACCCGTGAGGGGTTTGAGGGCTCCAAAGCCCCCTGCCATCCTTGCCGCTGTGGCGGCGCCAGTCCAGGTGCCGGTGCCACCTCCTCTCCAAGCCATCGCGCTGGTAGACCATGGCTCCTCTACCATGCCCATCGCTTTGGAGGAGGCCTACGCCATGCTAGACCAGCTCCGGACTAATCTTCAGGGCGGCGACCGGTGCATGGTGATGGGGCGTCTGTGGCTGATCTCGGGGTGGCTCCGGGCTGACTCGTCTGTCAAGACGGCCTGGGGCCAGGCCGAGGCTGCCGTCGCGGTGGGCAGGAATGAGGCCAGTGAAGCCACGGTGGCTCGCAATGTGGCGCTAGTCGACGCAACGTCTGCCAAGGCACGCTACAGCGTGGTGGAAGCCGAGCTGAAGGACCTTCGTGAAGAGCAGGACGCCCACACCCGTCGGCTTCAGGAGTAGGAGGAGGAGCTCAAGGCTAGGGAGACTGCGCTCACCAATCGCGATGCTGAGCTGGAGCCGGCAGCCTTGGAATAAGCCGCAGAGTGGAGCCTCCTGGGGAAGTTGAAGGAAAAGACAGAGATGGCCCAGGCGTCCCACACCAAGCTTGTCTCCGAGGAGAAGGCCCGGCTAGAAGCCAGGGAGAAGACCCTCATCGCAGCTGATAAGGCGGCCGCCGCGGGGCGCGACGCCTTCGTCTCCCTCAAGCTGAGGGCCTGCACGACATTGCAATCCCTTTACAGAGGAGGGTACGAGCGGCCGCTGGCGACCCCGGATGATGGCCTTGCCGGTCTTCTCACCAAGCTCGTCCGGGAACCCGTGGGCATCGCCACTGCAGTGGACACCATGGCGGAAGGGGAGTGTCGTGCACTCTTCACTACGGCCACGACACGTGTTTGCAGCCACATCCATCTCCAAGACCCAAGATTTGACCTTGGTGTGCTAATCGAGTCGGTGGTTCCTGAGGCCCATGACGCCGCTGCTGAGGCCGTGAAGTGGTAGGTGAAAATTCTGCTGGAGAAGTTAAGCTATGTCAACCCTCAGGCTGCAGCGACCAGGGCCAGTGGCGAAGATGACGGCGGCATTGTCGATGACGGGCTCCCAAAGGCGGGCGACAATAGCAACCAAGGATGAAGGCAGTGCTTCCCCCCGTTTCAATCCTACAACATTTACCGTGCCTCGTGGAGGCATGAGAACTTATGCTTTGAACTTATGAGACATCATGTTTTGTAATAATTTGCTAGAACTCCGCGAGTTCCTTTCTATTTGATTTATGTTCTGCGTCGGTAGGGCCTGGCCCCGCGCATACCTCAACCGCTGTTGGGGCATCTGAATCACCTGGAAGAGACCAACGGGCGAGGGCCTATGTGACCAGTGAGGCCCCTGAGATGCGATGCTCAGGGGGCCCCTTCACATACGAACAACCCTCATGAAGGAAATGCGAGCATTGTTTTTAGCATTCTACGTCAGTAGGGCCTAGCCCTGCGCATAACTAAGCCGCCGTTGGGGCGTCTGGATCAATAGGACGAGACAAAGGGGTGAGGGGTTATGTGACCAGTGAGGCCCCTGAGTCATGATGCTCAGGGGTCCCCCTTGACATACGAACAGCTCTCCATACCTTTCCTCGCCGGGCTTTCGCTCTGGAGTGACACGAGAAGACCAGGTCTGAGGCATTGGATTTCAGGTTCTGCAGACCCTTGAGAGGTTCAAACTCTGGGGTGCGTGCGAAGAACTTAACCTCCCCAGTATGCCTACTTGCCAATCTCACAGCCTAGATCGATGAATAGGAAGGAAACGGGACATAGCAGTTTACCCAAGTTCGGGCCACCTGACGGCGTAAAATCCTACTCCTGCTTTGTGGTTGATTGGCCTCGAGGGGCTGACGATGAACTAGTACAGTGGGAGAACAACCTCAGGAGGAGGCGTGTTCTTGTGCTCGAGTGAGCTGGTGGGTGTGAGCATGGGATGGATCTGATCCGTCCTAAGGTGGTGGATAGGCCCTATTTATAGTGGCATTGGTCCTCTTCCCAAATGAAGGCGGGAAGTGATCCCACAACGGCCAAATTCGAAGGGAGACAACTAGTACATGTTATCCTGACAAAAGTCCTCTTTCCTTGCAAAGCCTCTGGTTGTGATGTTGTGGTGGGCTCAGCGATGACCTCCGTCCTGTCGTCCTGGCGGTCTTGGTCTTTTTACAAGGGAATGGAAACCTTTGGCTGATTCCTTGGGACTCGGCGTCTACGCTTGCCTCTTTAGCACTAAAGAGGAAACTGGTGCACTATGCCCG